TTGGTGCGCAACAAGCCAGTCCCCTGTTCATGGTTTGCCTACCGAAATCTACGCCTAGGATTAAGCGAATGAGTGGTTTTTCAATTTTTCAACGACCTTTTTTTTCAGATCGCTTAATAAGCGGGTGCGTGGTCATTCACGAAAGCTGAAGAGCAAGCACTGGCTGCGGTGGCAGAAAATGGCAATGGAGCCGAAGATGCAGGGCGTATCTCTCCGCGAACATACAAACAACAATAATCAGACGAACAGCGTCTTTGATGACTTCATGTCAAAATGGGTGGGGCCCGTTGCTGGTTTTCGTGACGAAGCAGCATGTTGTGCGTTTGGTGAGTGGTATTCAATCGAGGAAGTAAACGAGTACTTGGGTGATCTTCAAAGCAAATGATGGACACACGTTGAACAGACAGTGGGTGCTAATCGAAGGTATGCAGCGCGAGATCGAAGAGTCTGGCGTAGCCCTCCCCCGGCGATGGGAGCATTTTGATATCCCCATCTTCGGGATTCAGAGTCGCAATTCACACCATCCTGTTCCGGGGAACTTCGGTTTTTTATGCGTTCTGTTCTGTGTAACAGCGTTATAAAACGCATATTGTCACGGGGTTGCCTGTGTGTGTGTGTGTCCCACATTTTGTCCCGCACTTTCAACTCGGGAATCACAAAAGCTAGGCGGCTGAAACTTTGGTAGAGTGTTCCCCGCCAACGGGTGACGCGGCAAATTTAAATTCAACCTTCCCGTACCCGCGGATAACACGTACGGCCCCGGGAAAGTTTTCTACGGGTAAATTAATATCTCAGGAACCACGGAGTCTAGGAGGCTGAAATTTTAGGGTAACGACTCCTACCCGCGCTCAACCTTGCCCATTCAAATTCAGCATTCCCGCGCTCTTGAGTGTCACATACGGCCTCATGAAAATTTTGGCGGGTAAACTATTAACTTGGGAATCACGGAAAGATATTCACCTTTCAAGGTTTCGAATTCAGTTTTCATGCACTGGCGCGTGAAATTTCCAGCTATTTTCCAATGTTTGAACTATTTTTGCATAGACTAAAGTACAAAGCAGTGAAAATCATTAATAGGCAGTCTGGTTTTCAATGTTTGAACTATTTTTGCATAGACTAAAGTACAAAGCAGTGAAAATCATTAACAGGCAAATATCGTTATGGTAGAACTATTTTTGCATAGACTAAAATACAAGGAAGTGAAAATCATTAACAGGCAATCGTTCGATGGGTTGAACTGCACAAAGACGCATGATCGCACCGGCTAGTCTGGTGCGCGTTGCTATTTATTACAATTACTCGCATAAAACACATGATCTTACCGGCTAGTCTGGTGCGCGTTGCTACTTATCTTTATTGCTTTCCTTGTCTTAATTTACGTTGTATAACACTTGATTATTGAATGACCGTATATATATATATATATGTATATATATGTACACACATATACATACACATTCATATAACTAAGGTTTTTCACATTCATACACACACAGGAAGGGCACGCCACTAGTTTATTAATTTTTAAGGTCTCAATAAAAACATAGGCTTTTAGATGTAACTTTTGGGGGTAAAGCATCTCCGGGAGATATCCAATGTTCATCGCGATACAACGGCGGCAGTAGTGGTGGTGGTGGTGATGGCGATGGTTGGTTGATGGTAGTTGGAAATAGTCGAAAAAAAGCTGGACGGCGAAATCGACTGAACGCGCAAAGAAAACCCCGGGCTATCATCGATAATCCAAGCGACGAGGAAGGATCGTTCAAGCGTATCAACGAAATCATGACGAAGAAATGCGGAAACATCGAAATACTTCAGTACAGGTGAATTTTTATCATTTTGTGCCAAGTGCCAAATCGAAAATACCACGTGTGGTCGCACCAGGCCCATTTACTAGGTGTTGTGGAAATTTTGAAGATACAAACAGTTATTATCCCTGGCAGGGGAGACAGGGAAAAGACGGAGGCCTGAATTCTTCGATGTGTTAACATATGCAGTTCGTTTGGCGCTAGTATCCATTTCATCCCTGACCACTTACGTGAGGTCGCACCCTCATCGAGGGTTTTTTCGCGTGAGGTTGCTCTCACTTCCTCTCAACCCAGCTCTATCCAGTTTCCGTTTACTGGCCTGCTAGTTGTCTGGGTACACCCCAAGTCTTTTTTTTTTTAGTCACCTCCTTGTCTAGATTTTGATTTCTCCCTCCTTATC